AAGATTCTTCAAAACTTTAACAAGCCTCTTTTGTAAATTATCCAGGTCACTCTCTTGGTTTGTTGTTTGTATATCCCTTTTAATTATTAAGACATCTTGTCCTTTCTCACAAGATTCTTCAAAACTTTAACAAGCCTCTTTTGTAAATTATCCAGGTCACTCTCTTGGTTTGTTGTTTGTATATCCCTTTTAATTATTAAGACATCAGCCAGTTTCTTTTGTATGTCCAGCGTAGCATCTTTTTCCATGTCATTCTTGGAGCCTTTCATTTGTAAATCCACTTTCAACTCAGTCCTGATCTTGTCAGGTAAAACTTGTTCCTCTTCCATAACATCTTTTAGATACAATCTTTCCATAGAGGCAGATGTCTCTGTTGACACTATTAAAATTAACTTCTGAGTCCATTGTTCAAAATACCCTTCAATATGTCCAATGTTAAAATATTTTGGTTCATTCTGTAATTGTAAGGAGTTTATATTTCCATAGAGGCAGATGTCTCTGTTGACACTATTAAAATTAACTTCTGAGTCCATTGTTCAAAATACCCTTCAATATGTCCAATGTTAAAATATTTTGGTTCATTCTGTAATTGTAAGGAGTTTATATGTTCTTCTCTTTTAATTGTAATCTTTAGTTCCCTCTAGTCCCCTCTAGTGTCCAACTTTTAAAATCTTATCCTAATATGTTTTTTTTTTTTAATTCAAAACAAAAGTATTTTCCCACAGGAAGGATTTTTTATAATTAGTTCCAAATTCTTATTTCAAATTTATCTGGACCTCTTAGTCCATTTGTAACTTTCTAAAATCAAAGTTTTAATCACCCTTTTGCTGTTTATTAATTTTTTTAAAAAAGTTCTTAAACTTGTAGTTAAAACTTTCTTTCACTAAGGATTGAAGGAAACTCACCTGGTGTTGTCAAACTTGTTGATCCAAAGGTTTCTAATAGCTGAAAAGCAGTTAACAAGCAATTTCTGAAAGTATGTGAACTTAGTGTCATTTCAAAGGTGCCGACTATGGTTTGAGCAAGATGGCTATTCCCTTGTCTCCCAGAGCTCTAAACCTGCCAGAAACCACTATCTTGCACTCTTCTCACAAGGAGCAGCTGTCTGGAACACTTGTGGGTGATCTCTAGTCCTCTCCTTGTCCAGAGAGGAATTATCGAAGAGGCAGTCTACTTGCTGGTTCTTCATTCCGCCACAGTTGTTGGCTCTGATTTTCAGAGCTGTCTTCAGTCTGCCATTTCTTCCTCCAGAAGTTCAACAGGTTAACAGGTTTCTCTTGTAAGTCAGAAAACATAGATTAATAAAATATTGTGACATCTTTGGTGAAAAACACAAGGTCAAAGCATTTCCTTTTCTCTGGTCCCAAAAGTCAACTATTCTTCACTGGTGTTCACTTCATAGTGACAGCAATGTGTACTACAGGTGGCCATTTTTGCATGTATTAGTATGACTGCGGGCCTCAACTTCCATCCTCATGACAAATGGGATTTTTCCTCTTCTTGCTAAAAGACCATTGAATCCAAAAAGTTAAATAGGCTTCTGAACAGTTCTGAACAGTTCTGAATAGCCTCAAACATTCCAATAGTTACCAAGATACTACTTCTTCTTCTTCTTCTTCTTCTTCTTCTTCTTCTTCTTCTTCTTCTTCTTCTTCTTCTT